TCTTTTCTACATTATAGGGGAAAATAACCGTGCATTTAACCTAATGTTATCTTAAGTGCACTTTACTACCTTTTAGCAAAATAACAAAATTTCGACGATAATCTATTCATCCCATAAACAAGATTTCGTAATGCGACGGTTTGCTCACTAATGGCGATAAGTTATCCGACGTAGAGCCCCTGCTACGTCGCGTAGCAAAGCTCGGCTGATGCAATGTCAAAGACTTGTCGCACCTCATGTAAGGAGCTTTCTAATGGAATAATAATGTAATTTTGGAACTACTAAAACATGTATTTGCAGCTTAAGATTGCATGTTTAGATGCAACAGAGATTTTAAGATGTTATAGACACAAATTTGTTTGGTAGATAAACAATAAAATTAATCGCTGTGGGGACCAAGAATTGCAATTTCTTTAAACAAAATGACTCCAATCACTTTGTTCACTATATTCAGATAGTAGTATTTGTATATAAAAAACTATGTTATGTTATTTTAAAAATAATAAAGTTTAAATTTTTATTCAATTTGTAAAAAAAAACGAAAATTGACCACTAATAATACAATCAACACTTGCGTTTAAATATATTGTTATAACACATTATAAACGGCACAGATGCTTCATTTGTTTTATTATTTTCATTATAATTATTTACAGGGCACATCACAAAATATTTTTCTGATTTAGGCATTTGCACTACGACGAAAGACGTAATCTTAAAATCTGATGACTTTCCGAACAACAGAGTTCTCACTTGGTCACGTACGCATACATCCAAAGAATCCTACACACGCGACACGACGACCAATAACAATCGACCACTATATAAATGATCGCATCGAGAGCCAATGACAAATCATTTATGTCGTAACGCACTTCCGTTGCATTTTTGCTGATTTTCTTCCTACTTGCGCCTAGTTTCACTTCAAAATTCATGTGCTGAGTTCATTTTCAATTTAGCAATACTGGATTTTAATTTGGGAGATTTCGTATAAAACAAAAAAGAGTGAATGCAAATACAACTGGGATTGAATAATTTAATTTCAAACATATTTTCATACCCCACAAATTATATTTAAATACGTACATTAGAAATTCTAAACTTGTTTTGCATAGTTGATGCATTATTATAGTTATAAAGCTTTGTTATACTATTGAATACGAGTTCTGAATAATCAGTTAGTATGAGATAATTAATTATGCAACCGCGATTCGTTTTAAAAAGAAAAACTCTGAATATTAATTTCAATATTGAAGTTGCATGCAAATTTATTCTATAATTTTATTAATTTGTAAAAAAAATTGGAAAAAAATCTTTAAGGCAGAAATAAATATTCTTTATCCAAGATTTCGTCTTGGAAGTGCGTTATAAATTTATAATATCTTGAGTGCATGTAGCCCACTTGGTGTTGAATAATTGATGGATTCATTGCCTAAGTAAAGGTGACTGGCAAAATCGACGACGGTGTTAGGCTAAACTTTATTTTCGGAAAAAGGAACAAAATATTGATATCGATTTGAAAAATTAATACCTACACGTTAATTGTGTTGGAATAAATTATATACACACGAAACACAATTTATTCAACGAGCATATTGAAATTGTAAACATTAATTAAAATTCGATTATCATCGCATCCATTTGTAATCGAGCGTATTTATTATTTTTCGAATTATATTCCGATAATTTAGATAGATGTATAAATAATAGTAATTGAACAAAATAATTAATTGTTATTGAAATGGCATATGATTTTTATATGTACGCCTATAGAATAAATATTCTATAGAAGTTTTTCAATTTATTTTTAATTAGAAAGACCAATTAAAAGTATATGAAAACTTTTTTTATTATTTTAGTTCATTTCTTTCTTAATTAAAATCAAGTTAGTGTGAAACTTTAGTGAGAGAAGAATTATTGTAAAAGTTTTATTTTCATCTTATTTTTTTTATCAGCATGGCTGAAATATTGGAATTTCATTATTTAAAACGTCGAGTTAATATATTTTCTAATTTTTTAATTATTAAAAAAATGCTTTGTTTAATAATAAATTTATTCAATTTGATCGCTAGTTTTTGACCAAATATCTCTCTTTTTTTCAAAGAATTACATAACCACATTTGTCTAATAAAATTTCCTAAGTTCCAAGTAGAATTGATGGAAGATAATTGGATTTTTGGCTCTATTGGTAAATTTAATGGTCCAATTTGGTCCAAATATTACTAAAAATTACTTATATCTAATTCCGGCGTAAAATTTATAAAATAATAAAAATATATAAATTTTTTTAACTTGATCTGAACATTTTTGTTTACTAATTTATTTCAAATTGATATAAAATTTATGATTAGTTATCAATATAGTAGTTACGGAATAAACAAATTTAACCAAATAAAATATCAAAGGAAATAATTATTATATTATATTTATAAGAGTAAATCACATACTCTATATTTCTTATATGATTGAAACATATAGACAAATCTGCTAATCTCTTATTAATATTAAAACAAATATCAACCTCCTCCTCTTCAGTGCTTTTACAACCCGTCTCGTTCAATGCGAATAAATTATCTAAGTTTCCTAGACCTTCTGGGGTCAATGTCGCCGAATTTACATGGGACAATATTTGCAAAGGTCATTTATGGAGAAAGCTTTGGTCCTGGTCGCTCAAGAGCTTCTTGCGGTTGCAACTTCAAAAGTTCGGCCGTTACATGCACAGTGTGGTGTCTGAATATATTAAATAGAACGACCCGCACTAAAACTTTGACTTTCAAAATCGCTTAATCAATCTGTAGGTTATTCGACTGTGGCAGACTGAAACATCTGTTTTCAAATGACATTTTCTACAGATTATCGTTAGACGTAAGACTTAAATTCTTACCAAAAATTATATTAAACGTTCATAGTGCAACAGGTATTTTACTACCAGAAAAAAACTGTGTTCTTTACTTTTAAATTGTATGTTTAGTACGTATCATCGAAAGTGTCATATATGGAAAATAAGATACGCTAAAAAAATCAATTATTCACAGCTTATGAGAGGCAGTCTTCTTTCGTTTTGCCTTTTAAACTTATTTTTGATAATTGAATGTTTTTTAATATGCATTTCTTTAGTTTCAGTTTGATCAGTCGTAAGAGTATTGGCTTTGCAACCACAAGGTTTTAAGTTTAATTCCTTCCACGAAAACCCCTGAAATCAAGCAGTAGTAATATTTGTATTCACTTAATAATATAGACCTAACTATGATTTGATAAGATTGTCTTTTAAGCTTATTTTAAATAATTGAAACTATTTGGCGCGGTGCTTGGAATTCTTATTTGTGTTTTATTAAATTGAATCAGGTAAATCATTAGTGTTTTGGCTTTGCAACCACAGGGCTCCAGGTTCAATTCCCATCTCAAACAGCCTGATATCAAGCAGTAGTGATATCCGTCTTCACTTAAAAATATAGATCTAAATGTGATTTCAAGTGAATATAGATATTTGGAGCATTGCTGAAACAAATTCAAATCACTATCAACAAATATATATATATATATATATATATATATATATATATATATCGTTATTAGAATGGACAACCAATGGGTTGCTTCTATAACATAGCGTTAAAATATAAAATAAACACAATTTCTGTAAAAGTTTTTATTTCGACACGAGACTTGGTATTTTATCCTGATAATTAATCTATTAAAAATTTGCTTTTATTTGCAATTATTTTACTGGCCCAGGTAACAGTTAAGTGAACCACTGCTCAAAATTACGCTCAAATTTTTCTTCAATATTAGTAATCATAAAAAAATAAATAAAATATATAGTACGTTTTTCTTGACTTACAGTTTAACAATTACTTCTCAAATATTTTTATGGTGAAGTATAATACTATAAAAGCTTTTGAATAAATTTACTTATTACTTATTGGGTACTAGTTATTAATATATTAAGAATTTCTATAACTTTGCTATTTTTAGTAAGTACGATTTTTGCTTAACATGCAATTTAATTGTAGAATGTTTTAGGCTAGACCTCTAGTTTAGTTTCTTTACATATATATATATATTAAGTTAAAGTTTAAGTAAATAATATGTAGGATAAGCCACATATACTGGAAGTCATACTTAAAGTGGAAATTTGTTTCTAATAAAATATTATATTTTGTTTTTATTTCGATTATTATTTTGGAGATAAAATATATTACAACTATTTTAAATAAGTGAAAACACAGTTTTTTTTAATATTTTTTGCAAAACTTAATACTTTTACTTATAAACATATAATTTTAGATGTTAAATAATTTATTTAATCAAATGCTTTAACTTATATAATCTACGAACTTTTTTTTGTACCGCAGTATTAAAAACTAAAACAAAGTTTTCTCCCGAAATGTTTAAAACAAAATTATTAATTGTGATTTTGGTTACATCTATCGCAATCAAAATACCCTTAATTAGAGGACTTACCAACAAACCCTCGACAGATTATAAAACTTTCTACAATCCTTTGTGGGATTATACTTAAACTTTCACCTTTTTACAAAATTTCTCACAGAACTTTATTGAAAGGTATTAAAAAACATTTATCATGGTAAAATTTACCCCAGAGAATAATTTTTAAAACCCGATATAACACTTGTTTTAGTCGCAACATTACATTTTCACTCAGCAATATACAGTCTGTTACATCTCCTCTTAACATTGTACAATCTCGTAAGAAGCTTATCATAAGGTTATCTTGTGAGCGGGATGCTAAAATAGGTTCCAGAGGCATTAGGTCGAGTACTTCGTAGCACCGTAGACTCGTAGACTCGTAGCCCATGATCCTAATATTACTACACACGGTCGGAGTGATAAAAGGATAGTGACCGAACGAACAGGTGAAATCTACGTGTTACAGCCTCTAATAGGTCTGGGTATTTTTCGATTCTGGGTACGACAGCATGTTTTGGGGATATAGTAATAGATATATAAAATTGTTATCTGCCTAGGTGGATATAGAGATGGAGAAATTAGGCGTGAGTGGACTGAAGTTTCAGGAAAAATATGAAGGGTGTAATGGAATTAAAATACGTGATAGGTAGAATAATTAAATTACTACATAAAATTATTATATGTATATTAGGAGTATGAGAATGTGTCAAAAATAGAATCCGTGACGTACATCTTAGGAATATAGTGATAGATATATAAAATTGTTAATGGCCTAGATAGATATAGAGTAGGAAAAATGAGGCATGATCAGAACCGAAATACAGAAAAAATATGAAGAATATAATTAAAGTATTTTTATGCTAAATAACGAATTAATGTTAATAATTACATGATAAAAGTTAGGGTGTTAAGAATGCATACATAATAAAGTTATTATAAATATAGCAAATATTTTTTAATCATTTAGCCTGGAACAATTATGAATTTGTTCTTTCGCATTATATCCTATAATATTTATTTAAAGACACATGATTTTTCATAAGCGATTAAAAAGTAATAATAATTGTTTTATTTAAAGATATTACTTATTATTATCGATTATTAAAAGCTGCTACATCAAAATTCAATATTATTTCAGTACTGGTATAATAATAGATCATTTCCAAAGAATTCAATTAATTTTTTTCCTTTTGAACTGAAATTACAAGTTAATTTATGCGGCATGAAATATTTATTCCATGCTACTTTATATTTGTAACAATATTTTTTCCGCATTAATTACATTTCTGTTTCGGTTCGATGGTATGTTGTTACAATTCTCATTTAATTTTTTAATTTTTAATTGTATTTTTTCAATACCTTGTCGATGAACATAATTGATCATTTCGAGTGCAGTTATTTTCCTTACCTTGGAAATTCGATAACAGAATTATTTGCCTGACTGTTATAAAATTGATAAAAAATATTTGCCTGATTCAAGTATATTTACAATCAAAACTATAAAATTTTATTCATGTTACAGAAGTTACTTTAATATACCATGTCATATATTTTATTGCTTTCAATCTCGTTGACGTAATAATCTTAGAACAATTTCTCGGATTCTCGGATCTATTAGATTTTTATTGTAAAACATAATACGTTATTTATTTTTCTGAAAATATCTGTTTTTTAGTGAATTCGATTCGTCAACTGTAAAAAGTGAATAAATACAAAATTTGTGATTTATATTGAAATCTACAAGCTATCACATTTCAGCCTTTTTTTAGTCTCCACTTTTATTATAGTGTACAGGTTTTATATGTGCTTAAAAATTACTGCTCAAATCTTGACCATATATAGAGTTTTATACTAGCATTTGGTGACCATTTGGTCATTAGGTTCTGTTCGTGCGCCACATCAGCAGACAGAAGATTAGACGGAATGGATCTTGTACATATTTACCTTAAAATTACACATCATCAAAATTAATTTGCTCCAAATCTGATAACTCCTATGTTACTAGCGATCCTGTCTATCTAGTTTCAATTTTCTGACTTGTTCAAAATCCAACTTCACCTTCTTTTATTTAGTGACTACTCTTTCCCAGATTCTATTCTTGTCACACATTAGCAGACAGAAGTTTGGACAAAATCGATCTTATATAAACTTACCTTAAAATTATCAACGTATCATTAAAATTAATTTTTACCGGATCTGATAACTCCTGCTTCAACAGAGATCCAGTCTATCTAGTTTCAATATTCCGACTTGTTCGAAATTGGACTTTACCTTTTGTATTTAGAGACTACGCTTTCTCTGATTCTGTTGTTGCGTCATTATCAGCAGACAGGAGTTTGGATCTAATTGATAATTTATACCTTATCATCAAAAATAATTTGCTCCACATCAAATACTCCTACGTCAATTGCGATCCAGTCTATCTGGTTTCAATATTCCGACTTGTTCAAAATCCGACTTTACCGGCTTTAGCGACTACTCTTTCCAGGCGCGTTGTCACCTGCGAGACGCGTAAATATAAATCATCAGTGCGAAATCTCGGCTCCGCGTTCGCGTCTTATCTGCATGATTAATGAAATTCTCTGGCAAACTACAATGATAGGCCTCACTCAGAACAACAGCTATAGCGTCGGCGTTATCTGACATCTGTCATTGTCAAGAGCGTCTGGGCGTATTTAATATACCGTCTTATGGAAAAGAAATTGTTTGACGGTTCACTTTTGCTTATGAGCAATCTGTCAACTAATATACGTGATAATAGATAATAGTAAATAGAAATTAATTTGATGTGAATTCTAGTTAAAAATATGACTTACACGCCATTGATTCTCAGATCGAGTCCTGGCACTGAGGTAGAATTTGTATTGTTAGATTGAAATTGAATAATATTTGAGATGTTGAGTTAGAATTGCATAGAATTAGAAGTAAGAGGGAAAAAGGAAGAAGGAAGAAGTGAGAAGTAAGAGGGAAGAAGGGAGAAGTAAGAGGGAAGAAGGAAGAAGTAAGAAGTAAGTGGGAAGAAGTAAGAGGGAAGAAGTAAGAAGTAAGAGTGAAGAAGTAAGAAGTAAGATGTAAGAGGGAAGAAGGAAAAAGAAGGTAGAAGAAAAAGGAAGTAGAATTACAGGAGGAACAGGAAAAAGAACAAGACTAGAATATAGGAAGGTTTAGAATAAAGAAGAATGAAGAAATTAGTTCTAAAAAAGAGGATAGATAGAATAGGATAACATATATAAAAAAGATTATAGGATATAAAAGAAAAAATATCATTACCAAGAACAACAATTGCCTATCGTTAGTATTATTTTATTTGACATTAAATATATGAATAAGACAACACCCATTGGCTATAGAGCTACGTTGTTGAGATGGAGTACCGTCATAACAGATTATAGAACTCTTAGTTCTGATTGCTGTTCTAAAATAATCTAATATAGTGAAATGTTCATCTCATCTACTATCGATTTCTTATTACGTCTTATAATGTACTACAAAGCACAGCAAATCGTTTTACAGTTTACTTTTACTTATAAGTAAATATAAGTCAACTAATAAATCAGGATAAAATATATAAAAAATATTAAATAATTAATATAAATACGTAGTAATAAATTTTTTACTACGTATTATTATGTTATAAGATGTATGATTTTGGATTAAATACCGGTCAACTGTAATAACATTAATCTATCAAACTTAATGAAGAAATATAATTTATAATAATTAATTTTTAACTAAAGGCATATTTTTCTCAATATCTAGTTCATCTATTTATTGTTATCTCGATATGTTTTAAAATGTTCTGCAGCAAAGAAATTACTTGATCTTTCAAATTTGAGCTTTCACTTTTGATTACAAGCAATTTATCAACTTCTAAAGGTACTAACTGAACATTGTATTTAGAAATTAATTTTAAGTGAAAAGTTTATTTAATAGCATGTTATTTTACGTATACTTATTATGTCTTAAAATTTACTAGAACACATTTTTTTTTTCAAAGCTTATTTTCACTTATGAGCATATTATTACAATAAAATGCAAATAAATCAATTTAAAACCAAAAATTCTTCTCAGTTACCTTAATCTAATTACTTACATCATAATCAAATGATTGCTTTTTTAACCTTAATCAACAACTAAAAAATAATTAACCAAACGTATGTCAGAGCGCAAAAATAAAATAATGAAAATAATAATTTAATAGAGCTTTTATGGTGAAAATTCATTAAGATATCTAGCAATCACTAAAATGCAACTAGGTGAACTTTTACAACCAAATAACATCGTTTTTAAATTATCAGTTTCACATTTGTACGAAAAAAGTTCATTTTTTGTACTAATTAAGACAGGAATAATTTAAATGAAAAAACAATTACAAAATAACAGGCCATATTATTAATTTTGCTGTTTATAAGCTACAATACATTTATTTTATTTAATACCCTCAGGTAAAAACTCATACATTTATTTTATTTAATACCCTCAGGTAAAAACTCATACATTTCAAACATAATGTATATGTAATGTACGGCTAAATACCAAATTTTTATATTAGAATATATATTTTTCTTTAATTTAATTTTTTTGAATTTTATTTAATGACATGTGTTGCAAAACCTGTAACCGACATATGCTTCGCTAATTACTGATTATTATATACTAATAAATTTTACCCAAATTTCCATAAATCTGTCTTAAGCTTTCTTCGTTGAAACTAACCCTAAACTTTGAAGTTTATTTTTAGATTTACTATGTAAGTTTCTATAAACTCTATTGAATATTTGGAGGCTCGCAAAACTTTCTCAAAGTTTCAAACTAACGAATTTTGTCTTGAGACTTCTGCTTTTGATTGAGTAGTGTCTGGAAGAGCTTTATCGCAGCTTATTACAATTTTACAGTGCATTAATGTAATCTATATGATCGAATATTGTCTCAGAGTCTACGTTTATGTTTATTTTATCACTTTTTGTCTGAAGACTGACGTTTCAATTTTTCCATCTCGATATAGTAAATTGTTCATTCCCTTGGCTGTGTTTTTTTATTAAACACGCACCAGTGAATTTACGTTGTGATAAATTGTCTAAGTCAGCAACATATTCGGCTGGTCAGTTATATTAAAAATATAAGTCTTTGTTCGCAATTTTGTCAATGTGTATTATTTACGACTGCTGTTTCGTATTATCTTGAAGTTTATAGCATTGCTTTTAAACTTTATTGAGCGAAAACTTTTCTAGAAACAATATTTCATTTTATTTTTCATTGTCGTGATATATTATTGACATGGAAATGTTTCCTGCGAGTGTTAGAATGGAACAAAAAATTGTAAATATATTTTGAATGCGTTGCCAATATGTCAATTATTTGAGGTAAAAAGGAATAATTTGCGTAAGAAAAGTGCGCACGCAAATTTTTGGTTCACGGTCAGATTTTTGGGTATTTATAATTTAATACTGTTTCTTTAATTAGAACTTTTCAAGATGTGTACATATATATATATATATATATATATATATATATATATATATATAAATATATATATATATATATATATATATATGTTTAATTTGAGTTTAATAATTATATATATATATATATATATATATATATATAATGCCATGTTGATTATTATAGATCAAGATAAACCGACATTTTGTATTAGCCACTCTTATCAAATATTATTTCAATTTCTGAGTAATTGCATTTCGTGTAAAACAAAAACAGTATTCAGTTAGTTTTATATTAAAGAAACAATATTTAATCTTTCAAATAATTATTTGTCAATATTTAATCTTTCAAATAATTATTTAATATTATTTATATTAATTATGTACTTTCAGCTGCATGACTAAAAGTATTTGTGAAAAAATGCTAGCTAAATTTATGGATCGGGAACATAATTTGAACGCATTGTCTATAATTTAAATTAAAAAATTATTTATTAATGCTAAACTAGTTTACCATTTTTATAAATTATGAATGTATATGAATTTCACAAAAAATGAAAACTGTTTTTGATCATTTTGAACCTGCAAAAATACATGAACAAAATAATATGTAATATTTGAGTAAATAAATACAACATGTGTATGAGGTCAATGAGCACTACGCTTTTCTTACGTATTGTTTTAAACAATAGGCATCTAACCAAAATTACTATATAGCCTTACTAGTAAAATCTAGAAAACTTTGCAAATGAACTTTTTTTAACTTTACCCGATGTATTGTTTATTAACAATTCATATATTAACGAAATATTACAAGGTCAATATTTTACGATGATTCAGTATAATAGGCCCTACATTATATTAAAAAATAATTAAAATAAATATTTGTGATATTGGGTTAATATTTTTATTATAATAAAATATTTTATTAACTTTTCAAATGATGAATTATAAAAATACATTTCAAGTCAGAAACAGTGTCGTAGTTGTTTGATGTATTGCATGTACTACTGATTACAGTTGACGTCCACACTTAAATAAAATATTTTTTTAAAATAGCAAATGAATGAAATGATTTGTGTTAAACAAATTAATTTGATTCATACAATTACAGATAGTATAAGTGTGTTTGAAAGACATCAATTGAAAGCCGTATCGATTATTTTTTAGTAAAAGCGAAAACATTTTTTTGAAATGAAAAATTGTATATTTCATCTAAATAGATTAGTGACAACTTTAATTAATTAAGTTGATTATATATACGTATAGGGAAGTTTATGCAACTTGCCTCAAGGCAAAATGCTAGTTCCAACTACTTTCAGCTATTGTTTAACGTGATTAATAAGTTCCTTAACAACTGTACGTGTGATATATTCGTAGCTTTGTATTTTCTGACCGTATTTCGACGGCTTGTTCTCATGAGAACTATACACAATGGTATTTTGAGATTACTTACTTGTTCACATATTTTGGACCCGACCTTCTTAATGTAAAACATGAGTACACTGTTCGAGACAGTCGTAATCCCGGTGACATATTTGAATGGCACGTGCAAAACAACGGTACAGTCTTCACGCTTTCTGAATTTCAACAGTTTTCTAAAACGAATCATATTTAGTAATCAATTATAATATACATATATATATATATATATATACATATATATATATACATATATATATATATATATATATATATATATATATATATATAGATCAAAAAGATATCTCTAATCGAATAACCTATTTGGGCACGTAGTGTGGTATGGCAAAGAAAAACCACTCATGATGAATATTTTTGATTCGAGTTGTCCCCACCAATCATAACTATTGTTGTTCTAATTATGCATACACATATTTCTAAAATCACATTTCACTTACAATTTCATATGTATAATTTCTATCAAAATTCATTTTTTCTGTCTACGATATTATCATTCTTATAAAAATGTCTGATACAAAATAAATAACTAGACAAGAAGGCAATGAAATTAATAATATTTACACCATAGTCTCTGAAGTGGAAATTTTATTATATTTTTTTGCAAAATGAATTATTAATTTATAATAAAACCGTCTGCACTAATACAAATAAATTTTATTTCACTATATTGTGTTACCAATTATGTATTCCTATAATAGGTACTACTTATATTCAATAACTGTTATCAAGCATAAATAAAAACTTCTCAAATGGACATAGTTGCTATTTCCATTTTCAAATTTCTGTATCTAGTGCTACTGGCCTTATTATTTTTTATAATATTATTTTAAATTGTATAACTTCTGAAGTTTTACAAATCCTTCTGTTTTCCTGGTGTAAGTACGGTTGAAAGATTTTCTAAGTAAGGTACGATGTTGTCGCATGAACCATCAACCCATGCTAAGCCTCTTGACAAAACTTAATTACATATTCTCAACGAAGGATTAGTCACTAACTTGTCCTTTTGTATTTAATTTGTCATTACTGCTTGTTGACTATTCTAAAACTTTATATGTTTCAGTTTTTATAGTTTGAGAACAGAGAAAATGAAAAGAGTTTGCTATATTTCAATCTACAGTTTCATAAATTGAAATAAATTCAATAAGTTGACATTAATTCTGCAAAAAAATTACTAATTTTATAAATAAATATTTAATAACGAAATTTTGAAATAATTTTTCACCTTTCAAACAAGCTCTGGATTATCGCAAACTTTTCAAGAATAAAACTGGTCAAATCGGTCAGCCATTTTCGGGGTTTAGCATACCTAATATAATCCCAAGTTTTATTTTTATATATAAGAAGACATATATGAATTCTCTTTATTTTTGAATTTCAAACAAGTCTGCTTTGATGAGAAAATACTGAAATAAAATGATTCTAAAAACAACTCAAGTAAATATTTAGTACAATAACATCAATATTAATTTCAATTTTATATTATGCTTTTTCTAAGCATTTATTCATTTGTAACTATACCAAAAATTAATTATACTCTAAAAAGTACCAGGAACTAAAGTTTTTATTTTAAATACGCAGAGATGAAGTGTTGACATTGCATTTTTTTTAAATTAAACTTTAAGATGCCAAATGCATTATTATAATTTTATTCACATTACTATTGAATGATTTTTTCTGAAGATTTATTCATGACATACATGATAAAATATAGGCATTAAATAGATTATGAAAAAAACTAATGAAGAACTTAAAAGCATTATTTAAATGAAATTCTAAAATATACGTATTTATTAATTCATGTATACTTATTTATTAAGTAAAACATAATACACATGTTTGCTAAAATGCTTCTGAAAAATATTTCTAATGCTTCCTAATATTATCAGTTATATCTAAATGCTTTTTAATATTATCAATTATATCTGAATTTCATGTATTTTTAATTACATATATTCAAGTAAACTGCAAATAAACAATTCAGTTTAAATCATCCTAAAGAGAACACAAATAGTCATATAATAAATATCATTATTTTAACTCAAATTTATTTAGAATATTTGACAAATGTTTATTTAAAATATGAGGTAAATTTGTTATAATTTTATTTTTTTCAAATTTAACCATACAAAATTCATTCTCATAATTTCATTCGTGTAAGCTTTTTAATGATTTCTTTCTGACATACATGATAGTATATAAGTATTAACTATATTGTAAGAAAACAAATAAAGAATTTTATTGTTAAGTAATAAATTATAAATTTATTTTATTTTATAATAAAATTGGCTATTTATAATGTTTTCTGTTAAAAATAAAAGGATATGATTAGAAAATTATTCATGTATGTACCTTCCATGCATTTACCGCAATAAAAAATAATTATTTATATATAATAATAAACATATATATAATAGCCGATTGTCGTAAAATAAATAAATAAATAAATAAATAAATAAATAATTATTCATATTTGGGTATATTCTATTAGCATTCAGATATCATTTTGAAATTTAAGATCATGCATTATTATGATAAATAACACTTCCTCTCGATTTTGGGAATACACATATATTTCTTAATACATTCAAACTTAACCATAAATCTAAATCTTCTTTTATTCTCTCTGTATATTTTTATCTCGATCCATTTATTTTCATATTGTACTGAGAATGCACTGTTTTAAAATTTATGACTCGAACCTGTTACAATATCTCATCCAATCAATGCTCTCCTTTACAGAAAAGCTTCCGGGGACGGCAGCACGGGTCGCGCCATCCGGAGCACCCCGGACTGGGGCGAGGCTGCGCTGAGCGGGGAGCATATGTGGCAGCCGACTTCCGTGTCCGGGGACTACTGCTACCTGGCTGACAATGACTGCACGGTCAGTGGGATAATTGAACTATTATAGTATATCAATTTTGTTTAAGTTTAATTAAAAGTAATAGAAAATAAAAAAATAAGGCAAATTATAAGAAACTCATAGTACCTACTAGGGAATGCAATACCGATGAAAAATTTCAATACCGGTAATTCGGTAATTTTTTATTTTAAAACCGGACACTAATGACGAGTTGAGATAATATTCGACATTTGTTTATCCTATAGAATCACTTGAAGATATAGCTGTTTATGCGATTATAAAATTTGAAGATAAATTTGTTCCGAGAAATTTAAATTTTAGTGTATTATGTATCAAATAGCGCTTATGTAAAATTACCGAAAATATCGGTATTTTTTCGGTAAACACCGGTAAAAATACTGCCGAAAAATCGGGCGGTTTACCGGTAATTCGGTATACCGGTATACCGGTAATCAATCATATACCTACTTACATATTCACATTGAAATATATTACTTTGCATGAGTACTTAATAAAAAATATTTTGCAGTGAGAAATTTGCAAGTAGAGAGAACTTTAATTAATTAATCAATTTCTTTCTTAAATATCTTTCTATTGGAAAATTCAATTTTATTTCTATATTTTTCATATTTTCGTAATTTGCTTTCTCGTGCACCTGAACATCATTATAAATCAATATTGGATTTTTTAATTCAATTCTTGTACGTAAATTATGTTTTGTAAGATTTACTGCCAAAAGCAGTATTTTTCTATTCAGATTGATATACTCCTTCCAGTAATTTTTTTTTCAGATATTCCTATTCAAATAGGAATTAAAATTTAATTAAATAACTATTAAAATGGTGAAATTCAAAGTAAATTTGAAAACTTACTTTCTTTTTTAATTTTTTATAAAAATACGAATTAAGTTTATATTGGAACGTCGAGCTGAGTTTATTGGCCCTGAACTAATATTATGAATTATAAAGAATATTCGTTTTCAGATTTCAATGACTTAGGTAAATTTTAATGAACATAAGTAGTTGTCGAGACGCCAACAAAAATAGTAGTTCTTTTTAAAAAAAAACATTTTGAGGCCTTCGTTACTATTTTAAATTTTTTATATTTACAGTTAATCGTTAAATCAATACATATTATCAACATGGATTAATATAATCAAATCAAGTTTCATCTATTCCATTTTGGTTAATAATTAATCATTATTCATGGGCAGCAAAAATTATATTATGGTGTTGTTTCACGCAATTTTGATAATCAACCAGTGATTATTTATATAAACAAATTTGCTTTAAAATATGAAAAGTATTAACAATAGAAAATAAATACGTTTTCAAGTTGCAATACGTTTTCTATACTATAGTATAGCAACAATTTTGAATATTATAACGACAATTAATTTAACGAAGGAAAAAAACGTTATTCTACAATATTTATTGCTCTATTATTTCAGACAACATACATAATACAATTATAATACCTTATATCTATCATTCCGCATTTATTTTTTCATAATTCCCCACAACCTGGGATCCTACACAAATATTTGTGTTTACCAAAATACCATTATATCAGAATGAGCAAAATAAATAAATACATGTGTTGTATATATTCGGTTTCTAATTCTTTTATAAGAACCCAGAAGATTTATCTTGGCGGAAGCTTTTAAAAGCATGTGAGCTTTTTTTCGTTCGAGACGTTTGAGTATTAAAACTGAAGGAAAATACTGTAATATAGTACTTTTGTGCTTTGCGTTATGATGAAATATATTTTTGAAAAATTGTATGATGGATTATTGCTATTAAAATAAACTCGTTAACCGTTTTGTGGTGACTAATGTACTTGCTTATAAGGTAATTAAACTACTAATAAAAAATACGTTCTCTAAATTTATTATGATTTATTTTGTAAACAGTTAAATGTATCTATTGAATAATTTTGTTTGGTCGTTTGGTTTTATTAGCGTGAATTATTTTCATTGGGCTTTTTAATTAATTTAAGCATTAATTTAATGAAATGTTTGTGTCGACAATTAAAATAAACATTAATAAATGTAACTGTCATAGTGTAGGTACTTATTGACTTCTATTTCTCAAAAAGTACAATTTTATGTTTATTTAAAAAAAACATAAATGTAATAAATTTAACCAAAAAAAAATATAATGATTTATTAATCTCTTTTATCACAAACAGAAATCGTGACAGAAAAGTTCTGTAAAAAATTATTATATTCAGTTTCTCGTTATTATCATGTTAGTTGGTTTTTCGACTCTATTCAATTTGTCTCCTATCTGTTTTTTGCTGATTAACAAAATACAATAAAAACACATAATGGACCTAGAAGAAATAGCTTGACATATCAACTACAGTAAAGGTCCGACTATTGAAAGGAAAGATATTTTGGCAATACCCACAGTGTGATTGGCAATTACCGAAACTACTACTCAATGTATTGTGATCTTTGATTGTGAACGAAATGAATTTTCCACGTTGTAGTCGAAATCAATGTTGGCATCGTATTCCGCATCATTACTTATTTATTTATGAACATCGAACGTTTTCTTCACTGTCCTCTTTAGTTAATTAGAAACTAAACTTGACCTTTGAATGATACATTTTCAGCTATATTGTTGAAGTATTAATAATTAAATATAACTAGAGTCTCCGGCGTACAAATGAATAATTGATAATGTTTGTGTTTGGTAAATTAAATATTATTTACGATGAAATTAGCAAGACTAGAATAGTCTAGTATAAACTTTCACGTAACTATTAATTGGAATAGGTGCGTTGTAATTTATTCGCTAATTCTAATCATTTGTTGTATTTTCGTATATTAATAGTTTTATTTAACTTTATAAAGAAGTTTATTTTTGCCAGAAAGCTGGATTTGCTAATTTTGCCCCAAGTCATTCTGAATCGTGTTACACCAAAATTGTTAAAAGTATGTTTAAGACACCAAAATTGGTAAAAGTATATGTGGGCCAAAATTTGATCTTTTGTCAACGTTTTCACAAAAAGAGCTACATTTTTTTCAAATATTTGAAATCCTTTATATGAAACTCGTTGTTCCTCTATATAATTGCAATATTTAATAAAATAAAATGCAATTCACGTTCAGTTTCATCAAATTTTATAAATTGATATCACTGTAGGGTGAGGCTGAGTCCAAATGCTCAAATTGGCTTTCATTAATTATACTGTCTAAACTAAATAAGTAAACGCATAACACGTTAAAAATATTATATTAAATTTAGTTAAATTCACAGTTAATTTGTGAGTATAGTAAAATGTTATTTTACTATTTTTCTAAAATTTGTCACGTGTCACTTTTTACTCCCTAGTCGAGGTAAAAAAAGATAACCAGAGAGCAAACAGATTCAATGTTTCATCTTTTTAATTTCAATTTTAAAGAGGTTTTACATAAAATTCATGGGTATATTTTTCACAAAGATTCACTCTGTACAAAATAACCTTGATCTGGTATTCTATCCGAAATATTAATCAGCAGAGTTAGAATAGCTAATAATTTGATTTATCTCTTAAAAAATTTCTTTTTCTAACTAATTTACTAAATTATTTACTACTTTCTTAATATTTACTTTTGTTAGTGTAAGGGTTTAGGTGTTCCTTTTTACATCATCTACATGTAAACTTTTATATAAAAAAGCTATTGAATGAAACTTTTTTTTATGTTTTTTTTATTTTTTATTTAGCAATCAGAAATACATAAAGATTCCTATGAGCTAAATTGACAATATTCAAGAGCGATACCTAAGAGGAACTCCAATGAGATCTTCTCAGTTTAACAATTAATATGATAATAATATATTATACCTAATCTAAGACTAAAGGCCATTGTCGTTTCAATCTCCTTATGCCATAAGGTTTAGTAATGTCAACTATTGATGGGTTCGAATGTGATTCCAGTTTGCGTTTGTATTTTTCCTTGAATTCTTTGAACGTTAAATGCACCGTTTTCATGTTGAGGTCGCTGTGAATGGTTTCATTTGTCACGTACCACGGAGAATTAGAATAGTACGTAAAATTTTTGACTGAATTCTCTGAATTATAGCTATATTTGATTTGTAAGCACATCCCCAGAACTCAATTCCGTAGGTCCAGATTGGTTTAATAATTGATTTATATAGTAACAACTTATATTCAACAGAGAGCTTAGACTTTTTACGCAATTGAATCAAACTTGAAAATAACAATACATCTTAAAAAACATTTGAGTGGCGTATACATAAAAATTACATTCAGGTGTCATAAACTAAATGAAATAACTGAAAACCAAAAAACTACCAATAACAAATGTACTTTTGTTTGGAATATTGATACAACTTTACTTTACAACTTCACTTGTACTTTCCACTTTCTGATTGCGACATCGTAAGAATTTAGGTAATGGCTGGTTACACACATCGTTATTTTTTTATAATTTTCTTGTTTTTGAAATAATGGTAGACTTTTTACTCGTGGATTTTTAAGTCCCGCTATACTTTACACAGTTCTACCAATGATGCATTCTGGGACATATTATCAATAATAACTAATAGGAAAGTTTACAGAAGATCAAAAACAAAGTTCTTCATCAATTTGTAGCCCGTGCTAGTTATATTTAATGTCCCATCCAGCGCTCATGGTTTTGACACCGAATTCGTAAGTGCCACTTTAATGACCGATAAGCCGTAGTATACGATAAACCCATTCAATTATGCCAGCAATCGATAAAGTGTTAAGTAAATTCCAACCCACTCCAACAACTATTCCTCAAGACTACACAGTTTGATTAGAAATTCCCAAACAACGCTCGACAAATATTTGTGTTGTTTCGCGTTAAAATCGATTTACCTATTTCTCAAAGCTATTTACCAGCCTGTTAATACCTAAATTACATTTCTATTTATTTATTATTGCAGAAGCACGGACCTCGGTTGAAGTGTTCGGCGTGCAAGGTGATAGCGCACGCAGGCTGCCTGAGCGCTCTCAACGAACGGGCGCGTTTCCAATGCAAACCGACCTTCCGAGATGTCGGGGTCAGGCAATACCGTGAACAGACGTGCACGCACCATCACTGGGTGCATCGGCGGACGGAGAAAGGAAAATGCAGACAATGCGGCAAGGTGAGCGAAATTCTAATTATAACACCAGTAGAAATTGAAAAAAGGTTGTGAAAGAGAGGCGCTAATAAGTTGTTGTATTTTTGAATTAGTAAAATGTTGATTTATATTAAGGGTTGTATTTGTTTGTTAAAAGAAACTAGCCAAGCCAATTATTTTTTTTATGAAATATAGCAATAAACGTTATTTTTGACAGTGGAATTCAAAACGTATTTACAACATGCGTTTATATTGCGTGTGAACAAAGTATCAGGATCGATAATTCAAAATGGGTCTTATTTTAACGTTATTAATTCTGAATTCTGCACGCCCACATACAAGCACACGCACATATATAAATAAACTAGCAAACCCGACGAACTCCGTTTCGCCACCAGATGGTTTCGTGAGAAAGATGACGAAATTTTTTGTTTGTTTTATATTTGAAAAGGAAAAATTTGATTTTATTACACAACAGTAATGAATTTATTTCGATTACAAAAATGAATGTGTTTTTAGTTGAACTTCTCTAAGTAAATGAAAGTGAATCCGCAAATTATCCGTTTCATTGAAGTGCTCTTTGGTAAACCACATTTTTTGTTTTTTGGTCTGGCGTTAACACAAGCAAAGCGGATGGTTTTCTAACTCGTGAACAGGCAACGTATAACTGCCCATGTGAAAAACACTGATTTTATAAATAATCTATTTGAAATTTATCCCGCAAACACAACGCGATTGGCCTTGCGACTTGTTAATTTCATTGCAAACGCAAGGCGAACTGGAAATTGCAATCGTTTGAAGTCAAACGGAAGACCAGTCGGAATCATTGGTATGTCACCAAATCGCCAGCAATTTTTGATTAAATGGTGAAATTCAGTGCGTGTACATCATATTTCTTGGCGGCAAGAATTGCTCGTTGTCTTAACCAAGCATAATTCTGATAATTCTCACTAATGTCACTACTCGAATTTTTAAATACAGTGCGTGAAGTTCCAGCAACTTGCATTAGGGCACGATGCCATGCACCACTAATTTTAGCTATAAAACTTGCGGAGCCCGAGACCTTTCCAACGAATGCAAAATTGTCGAAATCGGTTCGTGCGTTCTGGAGTTAAATCGTGAGGAAGGAAAACCCGACTATATTATATATATATATATATATGTAGATATATATATATATATATATATATATATATATATATAAACTAGTGGTTTTCAAAAGTAATGTCTTTTAAACTAAATAACTTTAAGTTATGAGTCTAGTTTGAAATCTTGAGTTTAGTACATTCTTGAATAGCTGAATATGGGGCCGGCCCTAAATGTCCAATTTGACCTCCAACTAGTGGTGCATGCCATTGTGCCTAAAGTCAAATTGCTTGAACTACTAGAATTAAATTTCTGATGTGAAAAATCAGTAACCATAAATATCAATGATTAATAGCAATTGTTTTAAATATTTTCAAATAAATACTATATATTTTACCGCTCATTTATGGTATAGCAAATATCTTATTGCATAAGACACTTAAGAATGTTTACATTAACAAGAGATGCCGAACAAATCCATCTGATGATATTTTTCTTACGAAAATGGAATACGCATATGAAATATACATTTTCAAAGTGCATTGTGAATTTAAAATTTGCATTTAAAGTTTGAAACTTTGTATATTTCTGAAAATTTTGAAAAAAAAATGTAAAAATTTCGAAGTAAACTAGAATTTATGTTACATAACTCAAACAAAATCAGCACTCATTTTGCAAATCTCTATAAAATATCTGATAATTTTATAACCATTTGTTAATGATCATTTTTGCCCGCCAAAGAATATTTTTCTAAGTTTTTTTCTGTATCTCGGACCCCACTGAATCGGCTTTCCCAAAAATTTAATAAATTCTTCATTTGGTCAATACAAGTGAAATGTTTTATTGAATCATTCAAATATCCGCACATACAAATACACACACCTATATCCATTTTATCTAAGGTATGCTAAAATGTTCAGAAACCTTTGAAACGTAAATATATATAAAAATTTTTGTTTTCGATTTTTGAATCCTACACGAAGTTAATTATAGATATTTTAATTGGGTGGTAGAGTAAAATATTTTATTAGAGAGCAAAACTGTAATTGTTAGTATCTGAAAATAAATTTAATGATACACTATTTATTCAAATTGCAAATCATTTCATTGCACCTGTGTATTTGGTACTACATATTACAAAGCGTCTGTAACCATAAATACAGTTTAAAGCACTTCTAATATACCGCAATTAATAGTACATGGATACAACTGTCGGTACATGCCATGTAGATTCAATACTAATTGCAATCGGAATACGTAAACGATTATAATTCTGATCAAAGCAACAGGAACAGTTATAAATAATTATTAGACTCATGATTATCTCTTGCGTAATCAATTTGTTATATAATATTTGAAATTCAAAGTGACATTTTGGAATCATAATAATTTTACCCTAAATATAATATTAAATGAAATATATTAATTATTTAATAGTATTTATATATATATAATTGAAATTTTATATATAAATTACTGTGAGATCATTTTCTCAATAATACTAAATATTATTTTGGTCCATCTTCAATGTTCAACCGAAGCACAAACATTTTTATATCATTTTACTGTTTGAGCTTATATAATAATTGAAATTTATATACATATTATTATATAAAATTATATAATATGACTATATTATATATAGTATTTGTTATTTCCAATTAGGGCATATTTACACAGCTTCGCATCAGTGAATAACACCGACATTATTTTGTACATGTTTGCATCTCCTGTTTAGGTTTAATTAATTAATTAATGGTCGGATTTTGGTAACTGACTTTTTAATATAATTTAATGGGCAATTTTTAAGCTTAACAAATATTTTTAGCCGTAAATAATTCACAATTGTAGGCTTTTTTATTTGGTTCTTTTTTAATAAATAGAAATCAAAGTATAACTTTTAATACAGAGAGAAAAATATCATAATTTTCTACTAATTGGCTAAAATATTGATAAACTTTTTCAATTTAAGGCATTTTGCTTTGAATCGAGTTGTCATTCAATTGAATGGACGTCAACTGTAATCAGTAGCTATATAAAAACGTACAGATGCTTCGGCATAGATTCTGATTAGAAACGCTCAATCTTGCGAGTAAATTCTAAACTTAATGAATTTTATTAATTCAACGTATGCGTATTGATTAATTTGCTCACCCCACTATGTAATTTTTGGTATATAATATCAAGCTCAAAATTATGGATTTTTCCATGACATATTTCCACAAAATAATGTTTTACCAGTTACTATTAGACTAGTACCATTGTTTGATATATAATTAGTT